CGCTGCGCGTCCGCAGCGACGGCGGGTGGGAGGCCCCGCTGCTGCCGCCCGTCCGCGTGGCGGCTGCCCCAGCTGGCAGCGCTCGGCGGAGCGCGCTGGCTGCCGAGCTTGCCAGGGGCAACGCCTTCATCAGCACCATCCCGCTGCCAGGTTGGTTTGCACACACAGCCGCAGGGCACGGCGACGACTGCTGCTGCCGCGCTCCACCGCACACTCGGCCCCGAAAACCTCAGCAGCCTGTGCTCGCTGCTGCCTGCAGGCAACGTGTCCTTCACACCAGTGCACGACAGCTGCTGCCTGGTGCTGCTGGCCAGCGGTAGGCTCTCTCCAGCAAGCGGCGGTGCCCCTGCTACCTCAACCCGGCTGCCCGCACAGCTGCTGCTGCCTCATCAGCTCTGGGCACCTCAAGCCGACACCTGCCGGCCCGCATGCAGAGTATGACATTCCTCCCATCGCTGTGGCCCTGGGAGCCTCCTACTTCCAGCGCCTCCTGGCCAAGCACGCCGCCATGCAGGCACGCCGCAGCAGCATTTGAAGCGCTGCCTCCCTGCTCCGCCTGCAAGGCTGCTTGCGCAGTCCTTCATCCTTCCGGGGGGGCCGTGAGCCTTCTCTACTGAACAAGAGAACAGGACAGGTGCATGTTTGCCCCCTGGGAGTGCCGCTCACAGCCCCGGGACGGTGCCTCTGCTGCCCCGCAGTCCCGCGCCGTCGGGCACGGCTTCTACATCAGCGCCCCCCCCCCCCTGCCAGCCCGCCAGGGCCTGCTGCCGGTGAGCACTGCACCTAGCCTGGAGCAGGCGCCGCTGCATCTGCCGTGGGCGTATTGTTGCTGCTGGGCTTGCAGTTTCAAACTGAAAGTTTCAGTAGGGGCGAGGGTTTACACGTGCCGCGCCTTGTGCATGCCCCCCAGGTGTCAGACTGCCTCCTGCGCCCCCTGCTGCTCACCTGCCCTGCAGGGCCAGGCCACTCTCATGATGCGTGCGCAGCGCAGCTTGCCGCCGCTGATAAGCATCTATGCGACATGCATCTGCCTGGCAGGTGGGGCACGCCGCGGCGCCGCTGCCTGCATTTTGCCGCAGCCACGCTGCTAGCCGCAGCCGGTGTGCCACTGCACAGGCACCGCTCGGCTTGACCCTGAAGACTTCCACGCCGTCTGTCCCCGCTCCCCTTCTGCGATGCAGCCAAGATGCTCGGCAGCGTGCAGCACAGCGGCTTGATGTCTTCTATGCTCTCCGCGGTGCTGGGGGATGAGGTTCCTTCGGAAGAGGTAGGAGTGCAGGCCGCAGGCAGCAAACTTGGTGGTGCAGAGGCAGCGCTGGTATCGCCAGGCCTTGCCAAGTAGGTGTGCGCATTGGGGCGGCGCTGGCGGCACGCCACCCCGCACCCCTCACAGCCATGCCAGCCTGCCCCGCTCCCCGCCGTGAGCCGCAGACGGAGTGCCTGGAGGCCGCCGTCCTGCACAAGCTCGACTGGCGCCTGGGCCCCTTCTTTGACCTGGGCGGCGAGCAGCCTGGCTGCGAGCGCATGTGAGGCGGCGCCAACGCGCGACATGCTGCAGGCGCGCGTGTCCCCTTCCCAAGCGCGGGTGTGGCTTCTACCCACCCTGCGACCACCTGTGCCCCTCCCGCGCCCTCCTCCCCCCGTCCTCCACCCTTCTCACCCCAGCCTTGCCCCCCCTTGCCCCCCCGCTGTGATGGAACGCTCCCTGCCTGGCTGCCCTGCCGAGCGATCCCATGCTACACGAGAGGCACTGCCTTATTCATCATTATGAAGTTAATGCCGTGGCGTACCGCACCATGTCTCTACCTGTCGTTGTCTGGCGCCCTGCGCCCCCTTGCTTTTTCAGTCCTGCGTGGATGCCCCGGCCATTCATCTTTGTTAGAACTCCATTTGGTAGAATGCATTGGTGCCTCCTGGCTGCACCATCTGGCTCATTGGTCCTTCATTCATTCAAACTGTGTGCGCTCCGCATTTGCTGATCTGCTCTGCCCCGCTCCTGCCCCCACTTGTTTGCTTGCCGCACTGCAATGCCTTCCCTCATTATCGCCCGGGAGCATGCGTTTGCCACCTAGCAGCTTTAGCATGATGCTTCACTGTGACGGCCTGAATGCATGCTGAACGAATGCATGCGACCCGGCAATCCCATTATTGGGGCCACACCATCTTATCTGTCTTGCTTGCAACCATTTCCACTCCCAGCCCGGGGGAGCCACGTCTGCAATCCACTCATTTAGCTGTTGAAAGCGTGTCCTCCGAAGATGCACCACTGCCTTGCACTGCCCTTCCCGTTCAATGTTTGTCACATCATCAATTGATTGAAGAATAGTGGCTACAGCATGCCTCCAGGTGGCAGTTCAGAGCAGGGGGGAGACGAGGAGGCACCTCCTCTGCCACGGCCGGCAGGGCGCTCAGGTGCCTCGCGTGGCGCGCTGGGCGGCCGCGATCCGCTCCAGCCAGGCGTGCGCCTGCTGCAGTGCAGGGTGTGGGCCCCGCGGCGCCGATTCCGCGGTGCTCATCTCCTCTGGGAGGGGCTGCCGCCCCAGATCCAGAGCTGCCAGCACCTCGGCAGGCAGCTCTGGCGGCGGCGGCAGCTGCCGATGGCGGCGAACCGGCAGCGGCGCCTTGAGGGCTGCGCTGATGGTCAGCCTGGGGCTGCCAGGGCTAGGCGGGGAGTCGAGAGGGTTGGCAAAGGCGCCTGCTTGCTGTCCTGGCGGCGGTGGGCTGCCGGCGGCAGCAGTTGGGGGCCAGCCGCGCGCCTTGCGCTGGAGACGGCCGCCAGGCAGCTGCTCCAGGCGGTCGCGCTTCCTAGCGCTGCTTGGAACAGGGGCCTCCTGGCCAGGGGGGGTGTCTGGATTGGCGGAGGCCTGCAGCATAGTGGCGGCACCGAAACTTCACGCTATGTGCAAGGGCGGCGGCGGCCGAGGCGGCGGGTGCAGCGCCAGCATCGCCGCCGCCCCAACAGCCTCCCCAGCAGGCCTGATCGTGAGGCCACGCCTCTTCACCTCCCAGCCTGCAGCTGTGGGGGCTGCTGCTTTCCGGGTGGCTGCTGGGGGTGCTGGCAGTTGCCCCGCTCACCTCGCAGAGCGAGCTGGTCGACTCCTCCGTGTCAGAGGGCATCGACTGCAGCCTTGGACGGCTCGGCGCTGGGAGGCAGGCCGAGTACGGTAAGCGTGCACTCACTCTGAGTGGCTTCCCCGAAGAGAGAGGAAGGCACGCAGTGGGGCTGTCTAAGAACAGTGTGGAACAGGGGTGTCAAACAGGGGCGTCTGACAAGCGGCACGAAGCCATGACTGCATCAATGGCGTCATAGCGCACACAGCACGAGTGGCTCCTGGTTGAAAGGAAGGTCTTCTGCTGAGGGGGCGCCCTGCCGCATACACAGCGAACGCCGCGCTGCCTGCCAGCTGCCAGCTGCCAGCTGCCGGGCCGGCGCCGCCCAACCTTGCGTCACCGACCGTGCATTGTAACAGAGGCATCTGTTATACAATGCCTCTTTTTCGCTTGTGCCCGAAACAAATGCAAACGAGGTCAAAGTGTTTCCAAGAGCAGCAGTGCAGTGAAGGGCGAAGCATTGGAGGGCTGAGAGGCGGTGCGCCGTGCGGGACGAGGCGGCAAAACAATCTTGAAGCAAAAGCCAGGCAAAGAGCAGCAACACAGCGCAAGCGGGGTCAGCTGGATTGTTTGCAACTCCCAAAAGCACTGAATAGAGGCAAAAGGCAGTGCAACAGGACGTGCCCAGAGAAAGTGATGCAAGCAGCGTTCTAGCACAGAGAGGCAGCAAATGAATATTGGTGCGATCAGCGAGAGGGAGGACGCCAGGTGTTCCAAAGGAGCCTGGCAGCAGCGCTCGCCAAGCAGCTCAGCTGGGCGGCGTGCGCGTGCCCGATTGAATGCTTGCCAGCCAGGCTTGAGCCTGCGACAGCGCCGGGTGTGGCTGCCCCGGCGCGCGCGGACCCTGCTCCGCTTGTGCGCCGCCCTCGCCACCCGGCGAGCGCAGGTCAGCCAGCACTTCCTGGGGAATCTCGGGGGGCGGCGGCAGGCGGCCCTGGCGTTTGGGCGCCGGCGGACACACCAGCGCTGGGACGGGCGCCGCTGCCGGTGCCGGCCCTTCGAGGGAAGAGCCTGCGTGCCCCTCCGCGGCAGAGCAGTCTTCTTCCGCGCTGGGGCAGTCATCTTCTTCTTCCAGCCCGCCATCTGCCACTGCCAGCCCGCCATCTTCCACGCCGCTGCCCAGCGAAGCCGCATGTGCCAGCACAGCAGGCGGCTCCGCCGCCTTGGCTGGCGGCGCCGGCTGGCCCTGCAGCGGAGCGCTGCTCCCCGCTGATGGCGAGCCGCCATCGCTCCCGGGGTTCATGTTTGCCAGCACACAGCCTGCGGCACATGAGTTGGCAGCACGCAGCAGAGAGAGGGGGGTGAGTGCCGGGCAGATGGATGGCGGCGGCGGCAGACGGCGGCCAGCAGCACCGCCGCTGATGCAGCAGCGTGGGTTGCTCAATCGGCAGCCGTACCCCAGAGATAGCAACCCCAGCGCCAGCCTGGGGGGTGGCGAGGCTGCGGCTCTGAAGGGTCCACCTCGAGCTTAGCGAGGGTGTCGTCGTATGTAGTGGTTGTCGGCAGGGAGGAAGCTGGGCCAGCGAGCTGCTCCAGGCGCCCAGCGTTCTCACGTGTATAAGCAGGGCATCAGACGAGTAAGAGGGTCATTATCGGCCTGCTGACGAGAAAGCAGGACAAGGTGCCAGCAATACTGAACAATATCCATAGCCTGCTTACATCAAAATTCCTCAGACAGGTGTGTTCACTTCCACGAAACAGGAAGTGGGGAGATAGTACCCACCGTGCACACAAAACTCTGAGAGTCAGACGCAGCAAAGGCGAAACAAGCAGGCAAACTGGACCGAAACAGAGGATGGGTACTGTGATAGGTGCGAGACGGATGGCCGCTGAAGGCTGCGAGCGCAAGCCGGCGCCAGCAGCGAGCCGCCACCCGCCGTTGCCGTGCCTCAGTAGGCCCCCGCATCGCCCCCCAGCAGCCACTCCTCCTCCTCATCCACCCCGCCATCCACCCCGCCATCCGACCCGCTGCTGCTGCTGGCGCTGCCGGCGCCGTCGGGAGCGCTGTCGGCTGGCGCGGCCGGGGGCGGGGGTGCCCCTTCGCCTCCCGCCTCTTCCCCCTCCTCCGAGGAGGAGGAAGAGTCCTCGCTCTCGATGTCCATCTCCTGATCATCCCCAGAGTCCCCCTCCAGGCTGCACCACGCGCAGCACAGGCAGCACGCAAGCCACTGAGGCAGGCAGGCTCGCGGGCGCAGCACGCAACAGGGCCGGCGCCGCACGGCGACCCGTGCGCGCGCCACACAGCGGCAGGGCGGCGGCCTGGCCAGCCGCCCTAGGCAGCCCAGCTCGGCGCTGCCCGCACCTGTCGGCATCCCAGAAGTCCTCTTCTTCTGGAAGAAAGTCGTCCGCATCGCTATCGCCCCACACCAGCCCCCCATCCTCGTCGTCGCTGCCGGTGCTGCCGCCATCCGCGCCGCCGCCGCCGCCGCCTGCCAGGCGTCCGCCCTCCGACACCGCCGCCAGGCCGCCAGCCTCCACCAGCGCATCGTGTGGGCTGTAGGCTAGCTGCCAGCCGCCCTGCTGCTGCTGCGGCGGCTGCTGCGGCTGCTGCTGCGGCTGCGGCTGCTGCTGGGCTTCTTCGGAAGGCTCGCTCGGCAGAGGCCCAGGCCTAGGCACAACAAGGTGGCCTTGCGCCACCTGACGCAGCTGGAAAGTATAAATGGGGGTTCCAAGGGCCCGCACGTAGCACACGCAGGCTGCGCGGGGGGCAGGGGAGGGCGCACGCAGGCAGGGAGGGAGCGCAGCGCGGTGAGCAGCCAGCCAGCAGCCAGCAGGGCACCCGCTACAGTCTACTCCCCAACCACGCCAGCAGAGGCTCAGCGGGCATGCCGGCTGGGCGCGAGCTCCTCCCAGCCCGCCACTGCGGAGCAGCGCAGCGGTATGCAGCAGTACGGTGGGCACGCGGTGGCGGTACCGCCTCACCATAGTACCGCTGGTCCGCCGCCTGCAGCTGCCGCTTGCCCAGCAGCTCCACCCGCAGGTAGCCGCCCACGCACAGCGTGGGCGGGATGGGGAAGCGCTGTAGCGCATCCATCGCCTCCACCTCAAACACATGCGACTCCCACACCCATTCCCGCCCCCGCTGGCCCGCCCCCGCAGCAGCAGCAGCCCCTGCCGCCGCACCCGCTGCTGCCCCTTCCGCCGCACCAGCCGCCGCCGCTCCCAGCAGCGCCGCCGGGCGCAGCTCGGCGAGCGCGGCGACGGCCGCCTGCAGCGGCGGCAGCGGCTGGCCGTCGGGGAGGAAGCAGGGCAGGCCGCCCAGGCGGAAGCGAACCCCCTTGGGGGCATAGATGGGCGCGCCCTGCACCAGGCAGGCAGGCAGGCGAGAGGGGAGGCGGCAGCTTGGCCGCAGGGCTCGGGAGGCGGCAGGGAGGCAGGCTGACGCCCGACAGGCTGGCACGCAGGGCTGGCCGCAGCGCCCGGCCGGCTGCGGCGTTGGGGCAGGGCCACACCCCGCAGGCGTCACGGCAGTAACACCGGAGCAGCACGGCCCAACCCGACGGGGTGAGGGCCAATAAAGCAGTTTTCTCTTTTCAATTCTTTAATTCTATGTCTTCCCTACAATGTAACTCCCACTCACCGCCTGGAAGAAGGCCTTGAAAGGGCGCAGCTGCAGCTCCGTCACCACGCACAGCGGGTGGGCCAGACGGAAGGTGAGCGCCTCTGCGCTGTCGGGGTCCTGCGCGGGCGGGGGGTTGGGCGGGGCGGGGTGAGGCTCGGGTGCACGGAGCGAGGTGGCGGGTACTGGCGCCTTGATTCTCTCGGGTGGAACCAGGTGTAGTGCGGAGGGTGCTGGCTGGGTGAAATGCGCCTGAGGGGCTGCCGCGGAAGCAGCGCTGGCGGCAGCGCAGGTGCGGCGCATGGGTGGCACGGCGAGTGCGGTGCGTAGGCGAGCGGGCGCGCGCGCGGGCAGGCGGGCAAGCGTCGCACCGTGCTGCCCGCGCTGCTCCAGTAGCAGCAGGCCTGGTGGCGGCTCCTGCTGACGGGGCTGAGCACGTTGGCGATGCATTCTTGAGGGTTGTCGGTGCTGCTGGCGGCCAGGGCTGCTGCAATCAGGGACTCGCGGGCCTGGGGCGCAGTGAGGCGGTAGTGCAGCTTCTTGTAGAAAGCAGAGCGCCGCGCATCCCCTGCCGCCGGCGTGGCGGCCGGCAGCGGGCCGGCGCCGTGCACGCCCGGCGGGCTGCGCGCCGCGGCAGCGCCGGCGGCGTCGGCGGCGGGCTCGCTGGCTGCCGCGCGGTGCGGGGGCACGCGGGAGGTGTCTGGGGGCAGGCCGGCGGTGGCGTCTGCCACGGCGGGCAGGGTGCGCAGACAGTGCGCACGCCACAGGTCGCGCTGCACGACTGCAGGCACGCAGCGGAAGGGCCAAAGAGGGTACCGCGCATGCTCAGCGCAGCTGCGGTTTGCTGCCCTCAGGCACATGGGTCGTGACCACCACGGTCACCGCCTGCCGTTCCTTCTTCCCGCCCACCTATGGCGCGGCAGCGGCGGTTCACTCGCTCCACCCAGGCCAGCTGCGACGCGCTGAGCAGCCCAAAGATGCGAGACAGCACATCCGTCTGCAGCCAGGGAGAGGGAGGGCCAGGCGCCGCTGGGGCGGTGACGGCGGCGGCACGGGCGGTGGCGGGGCGGTGGCGGCGGCGGGGTCCCACAGGTGGGCAAGGCCGGCAGCGGATCTGCTCAGATGCACCAAACAATTAGTAGAGCCTCCGCGCCGCCCGAGCGGTGCGCAATTCACTCTGCAGCTCCCATCTCACCGGCAGGTCCTCCAGTCTCTTCTCTTCCATGATGCCTGCTGATCAGAGATGCGGAGGGTCTGGCAGCGCCTTGAAGGTGAGCACCCCTCCACGTCATTCCCAGCTGGCCTGACCCTCGCTGCTGACCAGCGGCTGTTCTCGGATTGCAATTGGGCTGCATCAACGTCGTGTGGTCCACAGCGGATGCCAAGCATGGCTGAATCCCAGCCTTGACAACTTCCCCACAGCCAGCTCTCTGCCGCTGGTTCGGCGCGCCCTTCACTCGGCCTGTGATCGATATGTGGCGGGGCTGGTGGTTGCATCGCTAAACATGCACTTCGCCAGGAGACGCTCGACTCCCGCCGCTGCCACTGCTCTCCGTCCCGGGGACTGCGCCGACCGCCGCCATCCTGCCCACCTGCCAACTGGGGCTGTGCAGTGCCCATATGTAACGCAGGCTGCCAGAAATTGGTGAGCACGTTTACAGGGCCACCTAACTCCACACGCAAGCACACACCGGAGCCACATCTAGCAAGCCGAGCCAGCCGCCGCCGCCGCGTCACTTCCCACCCTGCCTCCCCGCCGCCGCCGCCGCTTTCGCCTCTGCCGCCAGCAAGGCGCACACCCGCTTGTGGGCCCGCCAGTCCTGCTTGCAGCAGGACTGCGTGCAGTACCGCACCTGCCGGCAGGCGCCGCACTTCTTGCTGGCCCGCCACGCCTCCTCCTCGCTGGCCGCCGCCAGGCTGGTGCAGGCCAGGTTGGCGCAGGAGCGCAGCGCCAGCGCCTGCGCCGCACGAGCGTCTGCCGCCAGCGCTGGGCCCGCCGCGTCTGCGGCGGTGGCTGGGGCGGGGTCAGGACCCGCCTCTGCCTCGACGATGCCAGCCCGCTGAGCCATCTGGTCCACCGCCTCTGCCACCACGCCCTTCGCCCTAGCATCGGCGCCTGCCAGCTGGCTGAAGGTGGCTGCGCCCGCCTGCGCTGTCAGCCTCATGCAGTGCAAGCACCTGCAGCGGCCAGGCGCGGTGCGGCGACAGCTGGCTGGCCCGGCAAAGGGGAGCGAGCAGCCAGAGTGCGACGATGCGAGCCCAGAGGGGGAGGCATGCAGGGGGCCAGCCGGCTCACCTTGCCAGGGCGAGACCAGCACCGCTGAGAGCAGCACCGCTGCCTAGCAGCGCATGCAGCAGGCCGTAGCCAGAGGAGTCCAGGTGGGCGCACAGCAGCAGCGCTCCCTTGGTCAAGTCCACGGCCAGCGGCGGGGCCGCCTCCTGCCCAGCCGGCCCGCCGGGCCGCGCGGCCAGCGCGTGCGCCCACTTGCCCCCCAGCACGCCCAGCGGCAGCAGCTGGCGGAAGCCCTGCTCCGCCTGCTGCGCCGCTTCCTCCGCAGGCAGCACGGGCTGTGGTGCCGCGGCCGGCAGCAGGCGGCGCGACAGCTCCAGGCTCCATTCCTGGCCGGTGTCGTTCAGGAGGCGCATCAGGGTCAGCGCAGCATGGCCGCCCTGCGCCATCGCTGCATCCAACTGTCCGACCTCGCCCTGCGCTCCGCCTGCGACCTGCAGCTCCCGCCGGCACCTCCACAGCTGCCCCTTCGCAGCCATCAGCGCCGCCACCGCCGAAGCCAGGTCGCGCGTGCGGCTGCTGGTTGCAGCAAAGGCGGCGGGGGGCTGCCTGCGCAGGCATCGTCCTGCACGCAAAGGGGTGGCAGGCATGCGTGCGTCGGCAGGCATGTGTGCGTCCCTCCTGAGTGCACCCATGCATCTCTCGTGCACGGTATCCCACACTCAAAGGATCAGTGCAGCAGCAGCAGGCTGGGCACATGTGTGGACACAGGATTGACGTCAGCATGGGGGGAGATGCTTACCCAGCAGCGTTGCTGCCTGTTCAAGCTGGCCAGCCAGCATAATGAACTCAAAGGGCGTCTCGACCTCCTCCTCAGCTGCAGCCTCCTCCTCAGCTGCAGCTGCAGCCGCGCCTGCTGCCGCCGCATGCGGCAGCCTTTGGCACAGCGCGCACAGCGCGGCGGCAGCCTGTGCCAGGCCCTCGACTGCCGCATCAAGCACAGGGGCAGCGTCGCCGCTGCCAGGCTCAGCAGGGGACTGGTCTGGAGGCGATGCTGCCAGGTGTGGCTGCGCGCCTGCTGCTATCGTCGACCCCTGGGATGGCAGCATGAGCTGCAGCAGGTGGACTGTCCACCACGCCACTGTGTACAGCAGCAGGGCGGCATTGGCCTCCTGCTCGCTGTCCGGCGGCGGCGCCGCCGCCAGCCGGTGGCGCCGCTGCACATGCTGCAGCAGGCGCAGGCAGGACGGCAGCAGGCGGTGTGACGCGAGCCTGCCGCCCTGCTGCTCGGCTGCTGCCGGGACATGCCCCAGCAGGCTCCCAGCGCCATTGATCAGTGCACCAGCTGCTCGCAGCGCGACGGTTCCAGGCGTGGCTCCGCCTCCCCACACGCCTCTGCCTCTGCCGCCTTCAGCTCAGCCAGCGCTGCGCTGGTGGCGTGCAGGTGCAGGCTGGCGGCCGCTGCCCTCAGCGCTGGCAGCTCGGCAGGCGGCAGCTGGGGCCCTATCTCTTTGGCCATTCCAAGCTCATCCACGCGATTCATGACGGTGGCGATCAATGTTAGGGAGGTAGGGTCGACCGGCGGTGCACCCGCTGCAGGGGGCAACAGCAGCGGGATCAATGCTTGGAACAGCCACTGCGCTTCCGAAACCAACACACAGCATCACGCATGTCGCCGTGGCCAGCTTGCGGGGGCAGGCCGCTGCTCAGCAGCAGCAGCACCAGAGGCGGGCGGCGACATGACAACCTGGTGCGCTGGCGCCAGGTGGCGTGTCCGCAGTCGCGTCTGGCACCAGGTGCCTGGCAGCGGCGCAGGCGGCTCGCACCAGGGCTGGCGGCGCCGCCGCGCCCTCCAGCAACCAGCCTGCCAGTGCGGTGTGCTCAACCAGCTGCGCTATCAAGACTGTGTGGTTGGAGCACTGGGCCAGGGCTTGAGCAGCCATGACCAGCGCCATGCGGAATTCCTGGTCTGCAGTCGGCGGCAGCCGCAGCAGCTGCTCCGTGGTGCAGCAATGGACACGCCCCAGCATGCCTGCCAGCACGCGCAGCTGCGCTGCCGGCAGCGCGGCCCTCAGCGCCCCGGCAGCCTGAACCACCACAGACATGGTGTTCAGTATCGACGCCAACTGGCTGATGGGGGAGTAGGGAACAGGATGCTCGCCCAGGTCAGCGGCAGCCACGGCTGCCAGCAGCCTGGTGAGGCCATGCGAATGCTTGACCATCTCGCTGCACAGGCATGCATGTGGTGGATGGATGACTCATCAAGGATGGTCATTTGGTGTCAAAAATGATCGCTGGAAACGTTGGTTGAGCACACAGCTCGTGGCGCAGCAGCTCGCACCTGACGGCTGTCGCCAGCGCCTGGCGACACGCCAGGCTGACGGGCGCGCCGCGGTGCGTCACGCACAGCCTCGATTCAATCATCGGCCACGACCAGGCGGTGAACTTGGAGCTTCTAATGGTCAACTCCGACACCCCTCGAAAGGTCAGGATGTCCCTCATTCCAGGGCCCAGAGCGCGCACCATGGCTGCCACCTCTGGGTCGCGGCGCGCCATCGTCGCCGTGGCGGTAGGGTGGCGGTGGCGGGGGACGCTCGCAGGTCAGGTTGCACCGAGCTGGAGCCCTCACGCAGGCCTTCAGCAGGTTCCAAATCCCACCGCAAGCACTGCTGCCTCACACGCGTGCAACAGCGACAATGCAGGCAGGCAACGGTGAGCCAAGCGGCGTGTTACGCGCTGAGGGTCACACTGTCTCAATGATGGGCAAAAGCAAGATGCGTGTGACGCATGCGGTTGGCTGACTGATGCCCCACTCAATTAGGGCTCCATGCGCCGACCAGCTGGCGGCGCCTTCCCGCCTACCAACACATTCTGGCCGCAGACCATAGGGTTTGGGCTGAGAGTGGCTGCGTGTGTGTGTGCGTGCATGCAAACCCCTTCTTCCCCCTCCCGAAAAGCATTCATCAGCCTGTTACATACTGATATGGCCAGACAAGAAGGGCTGCTTGGCGCTAGATACGGTTAGGTGGCGATCGACAGGCGAGACAATCTCTGTACGCTGTCGACAAGAAGCACGGGCAGGCGGGGGCCAGGGGAGGCCAGGGGGTGCAGGTGGGCGCAATGCGGCACTGCCAGCAGGTGCCGGCGCCAAAGGGGATTGTACACAGGCGCCGCACCACGCAGTCCCCAACAGAGGGGCCCCCACACAAAGCTAAGGCGGCAAAAGTACAAAAAAGCGGACAGATACGAACAAAGGGACGGACAAACATACACAGACCAGCGCTACGGCACCTGGGAAAGCAAGAATGGAAAGCGACAGAGAGAGGGTTGTTCTCGGCAGGGAGCAAAGGAGGGTTTCATTCAACGTTTGGGGAGGGGGCACGCAGCAGTGCTGGGGCGCAAGGGAGCAGGGGTTGGGGTTGGGACCCCGTGGGCAGCACGCCAGCGCAAAAACCGGCGCTGGGAGCGTGGCGGCTGGCTGGCTGGCTGGCCTCAAGGAAGGAAGGGGGCGCTGGAGGGGTGTCGCTGGCAAAACGGGCGTTGTGTGGGCGCAGCCAAGGGCCCGAATGAAATCGTACAGGCTGAGAAAGGACGGTGGGGCGGCCCTGGGCCCAGGTCGGCGCACCCAGGGCGCCGGCCTGGCCAGGGCCCGGCACAAGGAAGCATGCGCGCACTCGGGTGTGGGGCGCAGGCGGGTGCGGAGGCAGCCACCCCGCCTCCGCCCAGGGGGGCACTGCTGTGCTCTTCTGCTGCTCTCGCTCTGCCTGAGTCCGGCCCCGCCGCGGGCCGCGGGCTGGTGCGCCTCTCACACGGCTGCGCCGCCGGCGTCGGCCTGGCCGGCCCAGCCGCCCGCCATGCTTTCCAGGATTGCGTCGTCCTCGCTGGCATCCTCCACCAGCTGGCGGCTGAGCGCGGCCAGGCTCTGGAGGATGTCCAGCGCCTCGTCAGCGCCCGCCAGCTCAGCGCCAGCTGGCGCGCCGCCCGCGTCGTAGGCGTACGCCTCCGCCCCCTCCTCCCCGGCAAAGTCCTCGTCGTCCATGAGCAGCTTGATGGCCAGGATGTCGTCGGCCAGCTGCTCCAGCTCCGCCCGCGTCTCCGCCAGCTCAGCGTGCGTCTGCAGGGCGGCGGCGGCGGCAGGGCAGAGGCAGCGGCTCAGACCGTGGGAGCAGGGAGAGCAGAGTCTCGGCCCATGGAGCGCAGAGCCTCAAGACCATGCAAGCAGGGAGGCGCGGCTGCCGGCGGCAGGCCGCGGGGAGACGCCCCCGCTCTGGCAGCGCCAAAGGCTGCCCACCCTGTCCCTCCCACATACAACACATGCCCCACCACCACACCCGCCAGCGCCCGCCCGCGCCGGCCACAACGCCGCACCTGGGCCAGCTGCGTCCGCATCACGCTGCGCTCGTGCACCGCCTCCGACAGCTGCGCAAAGGCGGCCTTGAGCTCCGCGTCCTTCTGCTGCAGCGCCATGCGAGCCTCCAGGGCGTCGGTGCGCGCCGCCTTGAGCTTGCCGTCCCGCTCCGCCAGCTGGTGCCGCAGCGACACCACCTCTGCCTCCTTCTTGCTGCACGCGGGGAGGCGGGCAGGGCAGGGGCAGGGGCAGGAGGGGGTGCGTGAGCGTGCCGCAGCGGGTTGCGGGCCTGGCTGCGAGGTGGGTCGGGGCCCGGCATGGGGAGCGCCCCCAAAGTGGTGCGGGACTGCGGCTGCGGCACCGCCAGGGGCAGAGCAGCGGGCGGCGGCGCCACTCACGAGAGCTCCCGCCGCACTTCCGTCAGCTCCAGCGCCTGGTCCTCCACCTGGCGCTGCGCCAGGCCTAGCTGCGCGGTCACCGCCTTGCTGGTGGCCTGCTGCGCCAGCAGCTGCTGCACCGCCGCGGCCGGCAGCATGCTGCCGCCATTGCTGCCGCCCAGCGCGCCGCGCCGGCCGGTCAGCGACCCGGCTGCCGCCGACCCCGGCGGCAGCGCTGCGATGCCGTTGGCATTAGGGCCCATGCCTGGGGCCACCAGGTTGTGTGGGGCGGGGACCATGCGCTTGCTGGGCGCCGGCGCAGCCGACCCGTTTGGCCGCAGGTCATCCGCCACCACCATCTCCAGCATCTCTACTGCACCCAGCAAGGCAGATGAAGAGGGAGGGATGCATGAGTGGGACGGGCCTCGCACAGACAGGCTCGTAGCAGCGCTGGCTGGGGAGGCACACGTGGGCTGGCGCAGGCGGCTGGCGCAGGCGTCGGCCCCAGAGCGGGCAGTACTTGCCAACCCACCTGAGGGGGCTGCGGAAGCCACGTGCTTGCTCAAATCCACGCCATTGGTGGCGCCGTTGGTGCTGACGGCCCGCACTGCCAGTCTCGCTGCACCCCTGCCGCGGTGTTGCCTCGACGCAGATGCGGGGCGGGGCCAGCAGCGGCTGCAAGGGGCCGCGGTCGCTGCAGCTTGCTGCATGGCTGCTCTGGGGGAGGCTGTGCCAGGCGGGGCTGCGGTCGAAGGGGGGAATGGCAGGTGCACTGAGACCAGTCTCGCCTGTCACGGCCTTTCGTAACCACAGAGCGGTTTGGATCGACGGCTGGTGTGGAATGAGCGAGGCGGAGGCCCCGCTAGCGCTGATTGAGAGAACTCCCTCCATGTACATCCGTACTGCAAGAGGGAAAGGCGGTAAGGTCATTGTTCGAATCAGCGGCCCAGGCTCGGTGTCTGGTCGCGCTCATTGACACCTGCACGTCCTGCCGCGGCTCTTGAGAGGTCTCCCGCGCGCAGCAGCTCCCGCCAGCCCAGACCCCTCACCGAGCTCCGGCCCCCACGGCGTTACGCTGCAGGTACGGCACCTCCACTGCTACATCACGACATTGAATTGCAATGCTGCTGCGGCCCGCACGGCGCACAGTGCAGGGAGTGGGTGATGGGCGCCAAGCGGCAGCGGTCAAGCTCCCACCTGCTTGACCCCTGCTGCATGCCCCGTGCTCATGCCCCCTGCCGCTCTGCTGCGCAGCAAGCCTCAGCAGTCATGGTACGGTGCATCGCTGTGGCCCTCGCGGCGCTCCTCGCCGCCGCCAGCCTTGCAGGCGCGCGCCCGCTCAGCAACCCCGGCCGCCGCCTGGCCCAGCGCTCCACCACAGTCAACATTGAGTGGGACCTGGTGTACGGTGCGCTTTCAGCAGGCCCTGCCGCCGCCTGCCGCTGCCTGCTTTGTCACGCCGCCAGACCGAAGCCTCCCGCCACACGCCTCCTGGCCAGGCCTCCACTGCCGCCGCTGCGCTGCGCTTCCACACGCTGGCAGCCAGGCTCCACATCCCTCCCCGCCCTCCTGCAGTGCCCTACGCCCGCCTGGATGCCAGCTGCGGCGACATGCTGACGTTCCGCTGGCAGGGGTCCACCCCACAGACGGTGGCGGAGATGAAGAGCGACTCGCCCGCCGCTGTGCTGGGTGAGCCCGCCTCGCTCGCCCTGCGGCCTGCGGCAAACCCCCGCAGCTGGCCGCCGTGCGCCCAGCTGATCCTCCTCCCTGCGCCTGCAGCCGGCCGTCGCCCCCGCTTGCTGCGCTGCACCGCCAGGCTGCCCCGCCCCATCCCAGCAACACCCCCGCCCGCCGCGGCGCATCCCCGTGTGTGCGCCTCCTGCCGCCGCCTGCAGCCCAGTGCACCGCTGCCGAGCCGCTCACCGAGGCCACCACCTCTGGGGAGCACACTGTGGAGCTGCTGGAGCCTGGTACTTTCTATTTCGTTGAGCCCACCTCATGCGTGCGGGGCCAGGTGGTGGCGGTGACCGTCGCCTGCGACGACGGTGGGTGGGGTGGGCGGCTGAGCGGGGAGGCGGCGGCGCCGCGTGGTTCGCCCTCCATTGCGTTGCGTCACCTGGCATGCGGGGCGCTTGGGAGTGGGAGTGGGCTGCTGCGTGCGAGCAGCTAGCATGGGTCGACGTGCCCATTTGACACCCCTCTGTTGAACCCCTGCCGGCCTGCCTGTGCAGATGTGGCGGCCCAGGCGGTCGTGCAGCCCACGCAGCCCCTGCCCTCCTCTGACCCTGGCATCGCTGCTGCCGCCACCACCCTCGCCCCCGCCCCGGCCACATAAGCTGCCCAGCGATGCCGCGGCAGCTGGCTTTGCGCCCAGGCCACGGCGGCAGCCAGGCTGCTGCTGCTGCGGAGCAGCATCAGCCGCCATGCGTGCATAAACATAGTACAGCCTCGCTTTCTACCCTCCCGCTCCCATCCTGTATATATTGTAGCGTCTGCATTCTCTCCCGATTCCTTTTGGTGCAGCGCCTGCCCCTCAACCCCCCTGATCCGTCCTCCAATCCTCTTGACCCCCGATTCTCTTCCAGTTTCATTTGCAACCTCTTCCCCCTGTGTAGCAGGAGAGTGCAGCACCAAATGCGTGTGTCTGTATTGTGCTTATCTTTTCCATGTAGGCAGGAATTAGCGGTAGCACCAGGCAAACCACAATGATGTAAGTCACTAAGTGCAAGCTCCCATTTCAGGCTGCCGGCTGGCAGGCGCGGGTGCCTGCCCTGGCCAGCTCCTGCCCATGGTGCGCCACAGGCTGGCCTGCCATCGGGTCCAACTAGCACGCCGCAGAGCACTGTCGGCACCGGCACCTGTTGGCACCGGCTGCGGCTCAGGCCGGCGGTGCTGGCGCCGCCTTGGTGAGCAACGACAGCAGCCAGGCGCCCCACTTGAGGATGCGCTGCGCTTTTGACAGGAAGCCCAGCAGGTACCTGCGGCACACGGCGGGTGGTGGTGGAGGGATTGGGCTGATGGCGATGGCACATTGGGGGAGGGCCTGGAAAATAGCGCATTGAACATAGACGGCCCCGGGCAGGGCACGTGCCGCGCTGCGTGCTGCCCCTCTCCCCCACACCAGGCTCCTTCCTTCTCCTGCGCCCGGCTCACCAGTTCACCCACTTCCAGAAGGCCCAGATCAGTACCGGGCTGGACCAGACCAGCAGGCGCCAGGCGAGGTGCGCCAGCGGCACCGCCGCCGTCCACACCGCCTTGGCCGCGCCCACCTGCGCACCAGGCGGGGGCACGCGTGTCCAGGCACTGCCGGTGGGCAGGGTGGGCAGCCCTGATGCTCCTCCCGGATTGTATGGCCTGATGTGCTTTGCCCCTGCCATTCAACTGGGCAGCAAACAGCAGTAAACAACCACTGCTCCCAGTCCTTTCCCACCCCATCGCCGCCCACCTCACCAGCAGCATGCCTGCCGGCTGCAGCGCGCCCGGCAGCCAGCGTGTGGCGCCCTCCAGTGCCCCCCTGTCGGTGCGCGCGTCTGGCACAGGCAAGGGCTGGCTGGCCGCCGCCGCCGCCGCTTCCCCCAGCGGCGAGGCCGGCGGCGCTGCCTGCGGGTGCTGCCCCTGGCCCGAGGTTGGGGCTGAGCTTCGCCTAGACATCTCTGCTGCCACGCGAGGGGTGCACAGGGCAGGGGCAGTGGTTCCTTCTTAAAAAAGGAAAAAACAACAAAGAGCAGCTCCCTTCAACCTTGGCAGCTCCTCCACCCAGCATCCCGGCAGCTGCCGCCCATCACATGGTTCGCCCCCTGACCATTCCCTGACCATTCCCGACTCTGGTGGGAGGCTTCTGTTAACATGACATGTGGGCAAAGCCTGGAGCCAATGGGGTTGCGAAAAAACATGGAGCAAAGATCACAGAAACAAGAGGAATGTGGGTCAGGTCGCAAAGCGGCTAGGGACCAAGTAGGCTGGAAAAAGAAGTTGGGGCAAATTGCATGGGGGACAGAGAGGCGCGAGTATTTCCCTTTGGGGTGTGCATGGGATGCGCGAAACAACACGGGCACCGGTGGCGCATGGCGCCGCTCCGCCTGGTGTGCAGCCTGCTGCTCCCTCTCCAAATTGTGATTGTGATGCGGTGCGAATGGCAATGCATAGTCAAGTGCCGGAGCCTGCTGCCTAGTGGTGCCAAGTACAGGGTAGCCGCTGCCTGCCATGCTTTGCCACGGCGTGCAAAGCGCTGCTGCGCCACCGTGGCTGGCAGGGGGGCAGGGTTGTCGAAGAAGAGTGATGTGATGGTACACGGGCCTTGCTTCTACACGCTGGTGCTGTGCTGGTGCTGGTGCTGTGCTGGGCTGGTGCTGTGCTGGGCTGGTGCTGGCTTGCTGCTGCTACTGCCGTGGGGGGCCGCTGTCGCTGCTCCTCTGCTGCTGCTTGCCAGCGCCGGGCCTGGGGCGCGGGCGCCAGGGCCTGCGGCTGCCTAGCTAATGGGTCAGTGCCTGCTCGTGAACCTCTCTGCCTGCTCTGCTGCCTGTCGCGGTCTAAGGGTCGCTGGTCTTGGAAAAAGTGGGGAGAAAGACGCCGCTCAGTCGCCACGCCGGGGTCGGCGGGGCGGAATGCTGCCTGGCCGCCCAAGGCATGCGGCGCGGCGCGTGCAGCCGCGCCGGCGCCGGCGCTGCTACGCCGCGCGCTGCGCAGACAGCACGCCCAACACCTGCTCCACCTCTGCCCAGTCCCGCACCCTGCGGGCAGCAGAAGCGCGGCGTGCAGCAGGTCAGCAGGCGGCGCAGCAGCCCCAACCCGGAGGCCACCGGCAGCCGCGAGCAGCAGCAGCCAAGCGCAGCCCAGCCACGCGACAACAGCGCAGCAGCAGCAGCGCCAGCAATCATGACGCCGCCGTGCGACGCATCACAGCAGCAGGAACGGCACAGCAACAACGGCACAGCAGCATTACGGCAGCAGCAGCAGCAAGGGCAGCAGCAGCAGCAAGGGCAGCAGCAGCAGCAGCAAGGGCGCGCGCACCGCGTGATGCGCTCATGCACGGGCCCCGCCGCCGTCTTGGACCAGGGGTAGGCGTGGTCCCAGTCGTACAGCAGCACGTGGATGCCCGCCTGGGCGCACTCCACAGCGTACGCCGGGTTGTCGTCGATCAGCACCTCGGCGCCGATCGCCCTGGCGGGGCGGGCAGGGAGGGCACAGGGGTCAAGGGAGGGGGGGTGGAGGGAGGAGGGGAGGAGAAGAGGAGGGAGGAGGGGAGGAGGGCGGCCCGAGAGCGGCATGCCGCCGCCGCCGCCGCCGCAGAAAGAAGGGCAGGCCGCCACGCGGCAGGCGCCAGGGAGCGCGCGAAACCGGCTCCCGCGCCTCGGCCGGCACGGCGCGGCCCCGCCAGCTGGCGCATGCCGGCCGCCAGCCAATGCCGCCCCAAGCGGGCCCCACCTGCAGATCTCGCTCTTCTTCTTGGACGTACCCTCCAGAGCAAAGTGGTTGCCAAAGTGCACCTCAGTGAACACCTGCGGGGCAGGTGGGAGCAGCTCACGAGCAGCTCACGAGCAGGTTACAAGCAGGTTGCGCGCAGGGCAGGGCAGCGGAATGGGCGAGGGGACCCGAGCCCTGGGCAGCTCGAGCGTGGGGCCTGCGACCTCCCACGCGCTGCCTGCGGCTGCTGTGCGCAGCCAAGGCTTCTGAAACCCGCGCGGGCGCTCCCCAGCCTCCCCCAGCCTGCCCCTGCCCCCGTCGCGGCCCCCACCACAGGCCCTGTGGCGCCGCCCCGCCCCCACCTCGGGGAAATGCCGATCCAGCCAGTCCAGGGTGGGCTCCTGTATGATGTGCTGGCGGGACGTCACCACCATGAGGTCGCAGCCGCCACGCAGCCGCACCTGCAGGACCGCGGCGGTACCACGGCGGGACCACGGCGGCGACGCTGTCGGATCGAGGGGCCGTGCCACATCGAGGGGCAGTGGAGGCTGGGCTGGGCAGGGGCGTACCCCGGCTGGCCGGCCGCATGCAGGCGCATGCAGGCGGCCCACGCGGAGCGCCGCTGGCGTGTGCCACATGCGCTGCTGATGCTGGCCGCACCAGCGCGTCGTAGGCGCCGGGGATCGTCTCGATGCCCGCCGCAAAGTGGTGGCTCTGGAAGAACTCGTGCACGCGGTGGTTGCTCTCGTCCTGGGCACAGTCCCAGATCTGCGGGGGTGAGGTGTGGGGAGGTGGAGGGAGGGTGGGGGAGGGTGAGATGGTGCGCGGTGGCGGCGGTGGTGGGAGGGTGGTGCGGGAGGAGGGTGGGCAGCGGCCGCGGCGGCCGCATGCCCCTCTCCTGCGCATTTGACCCACGCTCGCACCCGCCCGCCCCCAAAGCGCCCGCCCACCCGCCCCCGCTCTGGGCAAGGCCGCGCAGCACGGCGGCGCGGCAGCCGCTGCCCATCCCCACACACCCCACACGCCCGCACACGTCCCACAAGCAGCAGCTAGCCCACATCCCCCGCCTAGCCCTTGCCTTGGCGAAGTCATAGACCCAGTAGTCCGACACATCGTACCGCAGGCCGTACGCCTCGCGGCAGAACTGGTTGAGGGAGTGCAGGAAGCGGCCGAGCACTGCGGGGCGGGGCAGGGGGGGCCCAAGGGTATGGTAGGGCTTTGTGAGCGGCGCAGGCGTGGGGAGCAGAGCAAGGCGCGGGAGGCAGCGGCTGGATGGCAGGGCGAGAGCTGACGGATCAGCCTGCTGCGGCTGCAGCGGGGGCGCTCGGGGAATCAAGCTGGCAGGTGCTTGCTGCAGCAGCCAGCGGGCACGCGAAGCTGCCGCCGCAGCGGTTGTTAGCCGGGCGGCCCACAGACTGTGGCCTGCTGCCACGCCTGCTGGCCTCACCCTCATCCACATCAACGGCCACCCGTAGCCTGCTTTCTCTGCCCAGCTTGCTAGGGATGATGCTGCTGCTGCCCGCACTGCCGCTGCCTTGCAGGAGCGCGCCCGCCGCCCGCTCCGCCGCAGCTGTTCCCACCGCCGCTGCCGGCTCAACAGCCGCCTCCCCGCTGCGGCGCTGCAACCGCCGGCCCAGCTGGTGGCTGCTGCTGTCGTGCCGCAGCGAGGCTGCCGTGGGGCGGGCTGCAGACCGCCTGCTGGAAACAGCAACCGGCGGCCGATGCGCCCGTTGCGCTAAAACGCAGGCCGTGCTGTCCATGGCTGCGAGCAAGGCCAGAAGGGTGCTGAGCAATCGGCAAAGCAAACGGGGGACGCGAGCAGGCCGCGTCTTTTTGAGACCCCCCTGTTCTACCCTGGCTCGGTTGACAACGCATCATGCCGCCCTCCCCGCAGCCTGCACCTATTTGTAGCATCGCTGACACACAACCCATCAGCTGTTTGGCACCTGCAAGGCGTGGGTGGGGCTGCCGGCACGCCAGCCCAAATCATGCCCGCGCCCTCCACCTGTTACAGCCCTCCGCTTTGAATTTAGCGGCCAACCCAGCATCTCCGGCATGGCGAGCGGGCAGGCAGGCCCCCCCTCCACCCCAGACCCGCCGGGCGGGCCCGCTGCGGTGCCGCCGGCGCCCGCCCCGACCGTCCTCTCCCAGGCCGTGCTGGCCGCATGCGAGAGGGGTGACACGCTCGCCACCCTTGCGCTCTTCGACCAGGAAGGCTACCTGTCCATAGACACCCGCTCCCTCTACCAGTCCACGCTCCTGCACACGGCAGCGAAGCGAGGGCACGTGGAGGTGGCGCGGCAGCTGCTGGCACGAGGCGCCCAGGTGAATTGCCTCGACTACGGCGGAATAAGGCGGTCCCCGCTGCACTGGGCCTGCCACGGCGGCCACGTCGCGATGGTCGAAATTTTGTTAGAGGCAGGAGCGGACACCACGGTGGGTGGCTACGTGTGTCTGCCGCTGCTGGCGGCTGCTGCCGCTGCTGCTGCTGCCCTGCGCTGTGTATGCCTCAACCCTTCACATGCTGGCCTGTGAACGAAAACACAACAACACCCTGAAACACTCCGTGAGGGTTCAAACTATAACTTCTGACGGCCCTAGCTGCTTGCTCTGCTTTTGCACACGCGTCGTGGCTGCTGCGCACGCGTGGTGACTGCACCGCGCTGCCGATCACCTGCCTGCTTGCCGCTCGCCGCCTGCCTGCCCCCATCCGCTCGCAGGCGGATGGCCGGTCCTGGAGCAAGCTGGTGCAGGGGCAGCGGTGCGGCAGCCTCATCCCAAAGGACCAGCCCACAGAGTCAGTGGAGAGCGTGTGCCGCAACAATGCAGTCAGGTGCGCGGGGACTCGTGAGGGGGTGCTGTTGGCAGCGCCTGCGGCACTTCCACGCGCGCCGGTGTGCCGGCGGGAAGGCTGGCCACGGCCTGCAGGTGGCTCGCTTCGCTGCTGCCCTCTCCCTTCTGCGCTGCTGGGCTGGGCGTGCTGTTGATGTCGGCGCCGCCGCTGCGCTGCCGCTGACGCCGTCTGTGTGCAGGCTGGCGCTCACGCGGCCGGACTGGAGCCCCAGCTTGAATGGAATGTGGCCCCAGCGCTTCAAGGAGGCTGCGCAGACGCTGCTGCTTGCTTCCGCCTGCAGCCGAAGCTGCTGCGAGGAGGCTAGCGGTTGCAGCAGCGGCAGCCCCCGTGGCGGCGGCCTCCCGCTCGGCAGGGACACGTTGCTGGAGGTGCTGCAGCGAGCTGCCTACCCCATCTCGGCCTGGATGTGATGCCGCCTTGCGTAGGTTCTTTTGTAGCATGACGCTGTCGGCAGCAGTTGTACCCGTGTGGCTGTATGTACCCCGTGCCCGCCACCCCTCTGCCCGTCACTTCTCCCCGCATTCTCAGCTGTGTACTCTTGCTGCTACTGTACTCTTGCTGCTTCTGTTGTTGTGCCATATGCTAGCATTGCAACACTGTCTTCATCTTGTGTGGCCGACAGAGCTGCAGCAGAGACGCGGAGTGCGGCGGCAGCTGGCGGCGGGCGGGGTGCTGGAACTGGGGTTTTGCTGGGCAGGCGAAACGACGAGCTGGCCCGCTTCTTGATCACGAGGACCACGCCCCGTGGAGCTCTGGCCGCGATGGGAAGCGCCCGGGGCAGCACCAGCATCAGAACGTGGCTTCCAGTGAAGAACCCAGGTGGCAGACTGCCAGACGTCGAGGCCGCTCGCTGCCTGCTGCTCACCAGTTTGTCACTCCGCTCTGACACTTCCCGAGGCCCTTGTAGCTCGATCGTGGGAGGGCTCGTGAGCACCAGACTCATGGCTCGCTGAAGGGCTGGGAGGGAACCGCGCGCGGGCGGCTGCTGGCTTGGCCTCGAGGGCGAGGCGGTGGCGTGACAGGCGCTGGGGACGCTGAGCAGCGCGGCGGCTGCTCGGGAAGGTGCGGCCCACGCGCTGCTGCAGGCTGCTGCTGTTACGCCACTTGCACAGGCTGGAGCGCCTCATTAACTTGGGGGGCGGCGGAGCCGCAGAAGGCTTTTGGGAGATCGGGTGGTGCTTTTTGGGGCCCGCGCCCCCCGCCTCCTGGGCGCTGCTTCCCCCCCTCGCAACCTGCTTGGCACCCCGGTGCGGCCACGGCCGGAGAGCTGTGCTGCCTGGGGGAGCCATCGTTGGCTGGTGGTGAGGCGGCCGGGTCTCTCCAGCGCTGGTCCTCGCCCCTTCACACTCCACAGGCAGTGTGGAAGGTGTGGAGAGGGCAGCAGCACGGCCAACCCGTCGCCCGGCCCCCACCCTTGCTGCCCCCGCGCCGCCGCCGCTGCCGCCCGGCCCCGCTCTGCTGCCAAGCTCCTCGCAGCTGGCTGGCTGACCCTCCTTGCTGCTCACCGGCCTCTGTGCTGCAGGCCAAAGCGTGAGCCATGACAGTGGCTTCAAAGGCCAAGGGGGGTGCACTGCCCAGCGTGAAAACAGGCAGGCCCAGCGGCGGGGACGGCGCGGAGGGCGGCGCCAGCAAAGGTGCGCCGCCGCAACAGCTGTTTTGGGTGCTGCTGCCAGTGCCGTTGGTGTCGCGTCGGCCGCGGTGGTATGCTGGACGAGGTCGCGCCGCCGCACGACCCGCCGCCGCCCCGGGCAGCTCCCATCGCCGCCAGCTGGGCAGGGAGCAAGCGCTGAGGCTTGTGCTGCGCCATCGCCCTGCCGCCGCCGCCGCCGCTGCTGCTGCTGCAGAGCCGGCCGCCAGCAAGACGCCGCGCTCGGCGCGCCGCAGCGTGCCTGGGCCCTTTGAGAACGGCGGCAGCGCGGTGAAGCTGGAGGGGGAGGAGGTGGCGGGGCCTGAGGAGCTTCTGTCAGATGAGGAGATGGCCTGGCGGCTGCACCAGGAGCTCAACGCTCGGGCGCCAGTGCTGCGCACGCGGTCGCGCAAGCAGCTGGACCCATCCCAGCCCGCAGGCGCCGCCGCCGGCAGCGGCGACGACGAGCCGGCGGGCGGCAGGGACCCGGCTGGCGGCAAGGCGCGGCGCGGCGGCGTCGAGCCGTCGCCAGCCAGCAGCAGCGGGCAGCAGACGGGGCAGGAGGAGCAGCAGCAGGCGGCTGCCGCCGCGCCGCAGCCAAAGCGCGGTGCCAAGCAGCAGCGCGGCGGTGCCAAGGCCGGCAGGGAGGCGGCAAAGGAGGAGGCAGGCCCGCAGCCTGCCTCTGATGCGGCAGCAGCGCAGGCGGTAGCGGCTGCGGCTGTGGCTGCTGTCATCAAGGCTGAGGGAGAGCAACAGCGGGCGCAGGGCGGCCAGCAGCCGCATGCCCCGACCGCTCGCACGGCAGCAGCAGACGCCAAGCCCGCGGCAGGCGCCTCCCAGCAGGCGCCTGCCGCCGCTGGTGCTGGTGACAAGCCAGCCAAGGGCAAGCAGGCGGCCGCAGCTGCCGGCGGCAGCAAGCCAGACAAAGCCGCAGGCAAGCCTGACAAGGCGGCCGCAGCTGCCGGCGCCAGCAAGCCCGACAAAGCCGCAGCGAAGCCCGCGGCAGCGGCTGCGGCGCCCGGCGGCAGCAAGCCCGACAAAGCCGCCGGCGAGCCTGCGGGTGGCGGCAAGGCTGCCAAGCCCCTCAAAATCCCGCGCTTGCCGATGGTGCGCCACGCGCGCAAGTGGTACCGCTGCCGCGTGCTGAAGGATGCCGGCGACAGGGTGCTGATGGGTGAGTGAGGGAGCGGGGGCTGGCGCGCCGCGCCCCAGGACACGGCAGGGCAGGCAGGCCACAGGGCAGGCAGGCCGCTGCCAGCCAAGCAGGGCGGCTGTGCGCGCTTCACAATGCCTCTCGGCGCCCCCTCCGCAGCCTGCCTGCGCCTAACGCCGCCCTGCTGCCTGCCCCGCACCGCACCGCCTGCCCCTGCAGAGTTCTCTGGCATGGAGTCTGACATTCCGTCTGCCTGGGTGCCGCGCGACTCGGACCGCATCTGGCGCGGCTCCTACAAGGGCAAGGTGCGCGTCGCGCGCTGGTTAAGTTTTAAACTTACTAATAACTGGAAATAGGAAACAACGGGCAGGGCTGTTGAGGGCCTGCCCTTTTTTGGAAAGGGCCCCCTGGCAGCGCCCTGCTGCCTGCACGTGGCTGCTGCCTGCTGTGCTTTGTGTGCTGCCGCTGGGCCCCAGCCCCCGCCGTCTGTCTCGCCTTGCTTGCGAACCGCTGCTGCGTGCCGCCCCCTGGCTGCCGCCCTGCAGGACTGGAAGTATCTGGGGGAGGGAGCCTGGGCCCCCAAGGGCAAGGCCGCCGCCGCCGGTGCCGCCGCTGCCAGGCGGGTCGCCGCCGCGCGCGGCGCCGGCCTGCCTCGGGGCAGCAGCGCCAGCGTTTCTGCCAGCCAGGGGGATGCCGACGACAGCTCTGCAGCTTCCAGCAAGGATGAGAGCGGCGAGGGGCAGGAGGAGGAGGAGGAGGAGGAGATGGAGGTGGAGGAAGCAGGAGACGAGACGGCGCAGTCCCAGCAGCGGCAGCAGCCTGCTGCAGCGGCGGCGGCGGCGGAGCCGGCCCCAGGCGCGTCCGCGGGACAGAAGCGCTCGGCGGCGGCGGCGGGCCTGGCCGCCTCGCCGGCCGCGGCGGGGGCGGCGGCGGCACCGGGCGGCGAGGACGCGCCTCCGGCCAAGAAGAAGCCGCGCAACCGCAATGGGCGCAAGCGGCTGGACCCCATTGTTCGAGAGGCGATGCGTGCGGCGGAGCGAGGTGAAGCCTTTCTTTTCTTCGTTTTCACATAACAAGAATAGAAAAGAGCCGCCGCGGGGCTGGCAGGCCTGCCTGCTTGATCTGGTGCTGCTGCTGAGTCCAGCCACCCGCTGGCAGCTGTGCTGCTTGTGGTCTCCCTTTGCTGTTCCCAGCTTGCCCGTCTGCCTGACAGCCGCGGGTTGCTGGCCTGCCTGCCTGCAGCGCAAGCCGAGTCTGAGGGAGAGGAGGAGGAGGAGGCGGCGGCTTCCGACGCGGCGCCGCCGCCGGCGCAGCCGCCGGCAGGCCCCTCCTCTGACCCCGTGGCTGCCGCCACACCCGAGCGCGGCCTGGCAGCCGCCGTCTCCAAGCAGCAGGAGGGCCAGGCAGCAGCGGCAGGGGCCCAGCCCAGCAACACCCCCATCCCAGAGACCCCTCTCACCAAGCTGGCCACGCGCCCCTCCACCACGCCTGGCATGCAGCCGCTGAGCCCGCGCGCGGCGGCCGCGGCGCTGCTGGCCAGCCCGCTGCCTCCTGGCGAGGCGCAGCAGGCGGGCAGCCCGCGCGGCGGCGCCGCCGCCGCCAGGCGCGCCGCCGCCTCCGGGGTGGCAGCTGCCGCGCAGGTGCTGGAGCCCCCGCTGAGCCCGCGTGGCAGCAAGCGCGGCGGCGCCTTTGACCCTCCGGTCAGCCCGCGGGCGGGCCCCCAGCGGGGCCGCGCGGCGCCCCACCCCCGTCCTGCATCTTCCGAGGACGAGGAGGAGGAGGAGGCGGCGGCGGCGGCGGCGGCGGCTGCTCAGCCGGCCAAGGCGGCGCGCGGCGGCGCGCGGCGGCGCCGCCGGCAGGCCGCCTCTGACGCCACCACCACCTCCGACTCCGAAGGGGAGGCTGGGGAGGAGGGCGACAGCTCCGGTGCCGCCTCCGACTCTGCAGGCGGCGCGATGCGGCAGCGGCCGCGGCCGCGGCGGGCGGCCCGCAAGGCGGCCCTGTTCAGCCACGAAGACTATGCCTTTGATGACGAGGCGCCAGGCGGGCACCTGGCGCTGCCCATGGCGCCAGCTGGCGCCGCCTTTGTGGCGACCTCCGTCGAGGCGCTGGCGGCCTTTGCCCAGCCGGCGCTGGCGCCGGCGGCACCAGGCGCCGCGGCCGCCGCGGCCGGGCCGCCCGCGCCCGTGCGCCGGCGGCGCAAGCCAGGCGCGGTCAAGGCCGCTCCCACAGGTGCGTGTGCCTTGCGGCTGTGACACGGCCCCTCTGGATGTGCTACGTTGCAGTCGCTTCCAGGCTGTGGCAAGCTTTGCTGCGCGTGCCCATGGGTGTGACCCCACCCGCCACACCCGGCGCTGCTGATCCCTCTGCCCCTGTGCCCGCTGCAGACGTGGCGCGGCCCGCGTCGGAGCCGGTACCGGCAGCTGCCGCGCAGCTTCCCACCGACCCCAACGCCTACCTGGCGTTCCTGGAGCAGCTGCCCGCCTCGCCGCGGGCAGCGGCCATGGCGGCGGCGCCCGCCGCGGCGTCGCCCGCCGCCGCCAACCACGACAGCGAGGAGGCTGATGAGGATTATGTGCCCCCTGCCTCAGCCAGGGACAGGGACCACCACGCCGCCGCCAAGGACCACGGGCACAGCCACCGGCACGGCGGCCAGCAGCAGCACGGCGGCCGCGGCGGCGGCGGCGGCAGCGGCGCCAACGGGCGGCGGCGCGGCATGCTGGGCGCGCTGGGCGTGGCCGGCGGCCGCGTGCACAAGCACGAGCAGGCAGCTGCGCCTGCCCACCTCCGCATGCACTTCCGTCACCACGAGGAGGAGGAGGAGGAGGAAGAGGATGGGCTGGGCGAGCTCCCGCGGGTGCTTGCCCGCGGCGGCGGCGGCGGCGGCGGCGGCGGCCACCATATCAGCCGCAGCCAGTCTGCGGCGGCCGACCTGCAGCACCCCCCCGGCTACCACAGCAGCAGCGGCGGCGGCGGCGGCGGGCGCAGGCACTCGCCCGGCGGCGCCGCCGGCGGTACAGCCGCCTACCACCGCAGCTTCAGCAGCCCCGCCAAGCCCACCGGCGCCAGCCTGGGCGGCCTGCTCACCGCCACCAAGCTGTTTGCCCCCATCCTGGGCGCGCTGGGCGGGCCCGCCGGCGCGGCGCACCCAGCCACCGCCGCCTGCGCGGCAGCAGCCGCAGCCGCAGCTGCAGGGGGCGGCGGCGGCGCTGGGCTGCACGCCAGCCCCTCCACCCGCCACCTGTTTGGCGCCACCTGGAGCGGCGGCAGCACCTCCTCAACCTTCAACCCAGCCTGCCTCAACGGCCTCTCCAACGGCTCGGCGCGGCCCAGGTGGGCTGGCGGGCGGGCAGGGCGCTGCGGGGCGGCGGGGGCCGAGCTGGGGCGGGGTGGCCTTCGGGGATCAGCGCGGGCGCCTGTTGCGCATGCTGCGAATGTGCTCGCCAGGCTAGGCTCACGTGCACGCATTCGGCGGCGTGGTTACGTGTGCCTCCCCTGTTGTTGACACTGCTTTGCCCTGCCCTTGCCTGGCGCCATCCTTATGTGTACCTCCCCTGTATTGCCCGCCCCTGCCCCGCCCTGCCCTGCAGCCTGCTGGACCTCAAGGACGAGCTGTTTGCCGCCGCCAGCTTCAACAGCAGCGGCAGCCAGGCCCCCAGCCTGCTGCCCTCCGTCACCTCGGCGCCGGCCGCGCTGTGCGGCGGCGCGGGCCGCGCGCCCATGCCGCTCTTCTGCTGAGCAAGCCACGCTCGGCGGGCGTTTCCTTGTGCTTCGAGGCGGCACTTCGCTGCCTCCCGCCTGACCATACTCCCCCTCCTCCCCTCTACCCTCTCTCCTTCCTCCCTCTCGACCCGCCACCTCTTGCCACCGCACCTGGCCCCCACACAGGTGCCTCCTCGACTTCTCCCCCCCAAACCAACAGCTCCTAGCTACTCACACCCTGCATGAACCCGCGCTGCTTCTTGATACATACAAGCTGCTACCTGCCTCGCTCCCCTGACTCCTCTTCTCCACCCGCCGCTCCCATCCTGCCCCCAAGCACACCACACACCAAATCAGCTACCTAGCCTGCCGCCCGCCCCACAGCCGTGTGGGGCAGGCGGTAGGCAGCACGGCCTGCGTGGCCTGGCCGCACGGCCACCACGCTAGCCTGCGCAGAGGCCCCGCCCTCCCCCCGACTTTTGACCCCTCTTTCCTCCCCTTCCTGCTCCCCTCTCCTGCTGAAACACCCCGGGGCGAATCTGCTGACCTGCACCCTTTTTCCAGCCTTCGGATTTCATGCTTATGGCAACCTTTTGCACGCCCGCGCGGCGCCTGCCTGCGCGCGCACAGCCGCAGAGTGCGCGGCTGGCCTCCTCCCCCCGTCTCCCCACCACACACGCACGCACCCCATGTATCGCTGTGCTGAGTGGGATCTTCTTTCCAAGGGCACCACCGGTTACATCCTCGGCTAGCTACAACACACATCATGGTATGCCCGCCCCGCACGGGGCGCACAACACACAGGAGTGTTGTAATGCAAGGGATCTCAGCAGGAGGCTGCCAGGCATCACCACCCACAGTCGGAGTCACAAGTGATATGGTGCAGGGGGGGTCATCCGGGGGGTCATCAGATGTGGCGCGCAAGGCAGTCCTCAGGAGCGAGGTGGGGGCCTTAGCCCACCGCTTTGGAGCAGTGCCGGCATGCACGTCCCCGCCTCCAAGCGGCCCAGCCGGCGCCAGCAGCAGCCCGCTGCCCGGCGCGACCATTGCGGCTGCTAGCGCCGCCGCGGCGAGCCAGATAGAAAGGCCAGAGGGTCGGGCGGCTGCAGACTGCCCAGCAAGGCAGCCTGCCGGCGCTGGTCTGCCGCAGCGGCGGCGCCCAGCAAGGAACCGGCTGGGCTGCCCTGCCCGCCCACCTCCTCCGACCCCGCTGCATCCACGCCCCACCAGCCTGCACCCCCGCCGCCCTGCAGGCCCTGCCGCCGGGCTCGCCCCGCCTCCTGCTCCTCCTCGGACGTCGTGAGCTGCCGCCAGTCTGGGCTGCCGGCGCCCAGGCCGGCACGCTCCCTGCCGCGCTTGGCTGCCTGGAACAGGCGGTCGAGAGGGTCGCAGGCATCGCTGCCAGCCGATGCACCCGGCTCCAGCGGCGGCACGCTGCCCTGGTCTGCATACTGCTGCTGCTGCTGCTGCTGCTCAGGCGGACTCCAGTGCCAGCTAGCGCCAGGCGAGGGAGCAGGCTGGCCAAACAGCTGCTCGTCGCTGTCGGTCCGCGGCAGCCAGAAGGGCGCCGGCGCGGGAGAGCCATCGCTGCCGGCGGCGCCAGACCGCGGGCGCTCTGTTCCAGACTGCTCTTCCTCCTCTGAGCTGCGGATGCTGCCGCTGCCCAAGCCCCACGGCGGGCTGGCGGCGCCTGGAAGCCCAGGCGAGGGCGAGGGCGCCGGCTGCTGCCGCAGCCCGTCTCCCGAGGGTGTCGTGCCGCCGCTGCTGGGAGGCGCTGGCGCTGCCAGGCCCATGCAGCTGCGTGGGAGGCGAGCCCCGCTGGCAGGCTGCCTGCCGGCCTGGCTGGCCTGCCGAGAATCCTGGGCTCCCCACGGCAATGCCTGCGGCAGCCTGCTGCCACCAGCACCTTCGCCGCCGCCGCTCGAGCCTGCCGCGCGCAGCGCACCCGCGTCCGCCGGCGCTCCATGCCCACCGCCGCTGCGAGGCTGCTGCTGCTGCTGCTGCTGCTGCTGGGCCTGCTGCTTTGCAGCCTGCTGGGCGCCCACCGGAAGGCCGGCACAGCCGCCAACCAGCTTCTGGAGCAGCAGCTCTGGGGCTGCTGCCAGCTCCTCTGGCCTGCACGATGGAAAGTGTGGGCAAGTCGTCAGCCAGCAGCACTGGCTGAAGGAAGCGTGGTACATGAGTGTTGCCGCCACTTGCAGAGCACTGCCAGCGCCTGCATGCCGCATCTTACCCGAGACCGTTGGCTGCTGCCGCCAGACTGCGCAGGTGGGCACGAGCGTCGGCAAAGTAGCTGCCTGGTTGCAGCATGGGTGCCGCAGCGCCTTGCTGCGATACGCCCTGCTGTGTGTTGCCAGCTGAGCCGGCGCCTGGGCCCGCCCCGCCGCCGCTGGCTTGTGGAGCGGCAGCTGCCTGGCCTGAGCTGCTCTTGGCGCCAGCAGGGGGCCCATCGGCGGGCTGGGCGCCGCACGCGCCATGCGGCGCCGGCTGAGCCGCCGGATGCTGAGAGGCTCTTGCATCCGGCTGCATCCGACTGCTGCCGGGCCTGATGCTGTGCTCTGCCTCCTGTCTCGGGGCTGCACGCTGCTGCTGGAAGGGCGGGGTGGCTGCAGCTGCACTTCTGGCGGCAGGCTGCGCCGGCCGCGCACCGGCCGTCACAGCTGCATCTGTCCGCTGGTGAGCTCCCAGCCGCCCCGACGCCAGCGCCGGCTTCAGCTTGAGCAGGCTGGCAGCCCGCGCTAGCGCCTGCTGGCGCTGGGAACCGGCAGCAACCGCATGGCTGCCCAGAGCATCCGCCAGCTGTGCAGGCGCCTCGCGACGGTGCCTGCGCGCGCCCGCGGCCGTGCTTCGGGGCAGGGAGCCTGCAAACAAAACGGTTGTGCGGCGCGCTGCGATGTGGTGGATAGGGAGAGAGTTTCTCAGCATGACAGGAAGCGCGGCGGCGAGGGAAGCCAACCTGCGGCTGGGCGCCTGCGTGGCCCTGCAGCCGGGGCGGTGGCACCTGCAGGATGCTCCAGGGCAGCACCCGCGCCACTGCTGCCGCCCTCTGGCCCGCTTTCCGGGGCTGTTGCTGCGCGCTTGCCCTTGCCGCTGCCCCGAGTGACCCCGATCAACTGTGCTCGATCGAGCGGGTCGCTCATTCAAGTGTGAAGGGTGAAGACCTACACCCAGCCACGCCTCGCAGCCATGGGCAGTGCCGTGGTGGAACGAGAACAACCTGCGAGGGCGTCTGAGGGCCCTCATCCAGCCGACTTTTCTTCCCACTGATCGCCGTTGGGATTCAGGCCCGTTGGATTTCAGGCCCGTGCTGCAGCCTGCCTGGCGGTGTGAGGGTTGATCTTACAAAGATGGCGCTAAACATGAAAGCAGGGGCGTGGAGAAGGCTGGCTAGCTGCTGTGGACCAGCACGGGCCGTTTACAGTGGTGCACCGCATAGTTTGTCACACTGCGGGCGGCGGGGCGGCAGGGGTGGGAGCAGGCTCGTGAGGGGCAGGCTGGAGCCGAAACGCAAGGGTCAAAACATGGATACTTCACTGGCAGGCATCAGCTGCATCAACAACCGCCGCACCTGCCGAGGAAGAACTCTTGAAGGCGCGACTTGCTGCAGGCAGAGCAGGCAGCCAGGTGGGCGCGGGCGTTTTAGTGCCGCCGCTGTGCGCTGGAGGCTCGGCAAGCAGCCAGGGCCTCCTCAACAGCCCGCGCCGCCTGGCCGACGCTTCAGTGCACCCCAACAACCCCCAAACCTCTCCCCGCCACCCCCCAGCAGCAGCACATGCCTCGCCCGTGCACCCCAGCGGCGCCCACCTGTGCCGCGCCAGCACCGTCACCACCGCCTCCAGCTCCTCCGCCTTCTTGCAGATCACGTTGCCGATGCTGTCGGTGTCGATCTCGTACTGCAGGGAGGCACGGAGGGCGCAGGGTGAGGGTGGGGACCACAGAGGGGACGGCCACGCAGTTCGGCACCACGCATGGCATGCCCTCCAGCAGCAGCGGCGGCGGCGGCTGTGGGGGCCACATGCCAGGCATCCCTCGAACCCCGCTCCACAGCGTGCCAGGCCAGGCGCCTCGGGCAGCGCCGCCCCACCTTGACGATGTGCACCACAGGCTGCGGCGTGATGCTGCCGATGTGGGTCAGCGCCCGCCTGGCGATGAAGTCCTCGGAGGCCTTGATGAGCTGCTCGTAGGCGGTGGGGTCCTGCACAGGCAGGAAGGGAGGGAGGGGGAGCGGAGAGGGTGTGGGTGACCAAGGAAGAGGCGAGGCAGCACGCTGTGTTGGGAGAAACTCGGCGGCGGGGTGCTGCGGTACGATCCAGCGCGCGCCAGTTGAGGCTTGCAGCCTGCCAAACGCAAAGGAGCTTGCGGCGCAGACCCAAGGCAGGGGGAGAGCAGGCAGGGGAGAGCAAGCAGGCAGCTGCACCTGGTAGGGCAAAAAGTCGACCGGCGGCGCCCCATACGTGGCCGCCAGCTGCAAGCGAGGGATGACGTGGATGAGGTGCACCTCGTCCCCCTCCTGGTACCTGCGCCCGGGTGAGCAGCAGGTCGCAAGCGACGCAAGGTTGGGGCAGGCTTAAACTGGTGAGCGTCAGCGCCGCCACCTCCACCGCCACCGCTGCATTTTGTGCAGGAGTGTCGGGCGGCCCCGGAACGGCTGCAGGCGACTCACAGGTTGTCCATGGCCCACTTCACGGCCGATTCACAGGCGTCGCTGTTGTCCACGCTGATCAGGAGGGCTCTCGGTCGGGGAGCCGCCATGCTGCTGGATTCACTCTGATGCTGCGAGCTGAGGTATCAGCTGTGAATGCAAGCCCGGGTGCGCGTTCTAGAGAAGCTCTGTAGGGTCGGTGGGTGCAAGCGGCACGGACAGAGGAAGGGACGAGCGTAGCGTCAATTGACAGTGTTCAGGGATCCAGGATTGTGGTCAGCTGTAGTCGGAGGGCCCTCTCAAGGAGACTGACACCTCAGCCTCTGACGAGGCATGATTCAGTGTTTCTGAAAGCTGGCGAAATCGCCAAATGCTGGCGAAATCGGGCAAAAAACGGCTCTGGCTGGCGATTGGCCGAAGGCCATCGCCAGCCAGAGCTGGCGAAATGAGGGCAGGCGGCAGGACATGGTCGCCAGCCCGTCGCCATCCCCCATGACTGGCATCGCCAATATATTGAGGGAAAATGGCCAAATTTCCTCAGGAACTTCATTCCATAGTGTTAAAAAAGCGCCAGCTTTCTGGGGGCTTCGCCCCCAGTCCCCCATAAAGGGAGGCAAGTGCCGACAAAGCAACGGCGGCACCGCATGCGTCCGCTGCGCCGCGCCAGGCGCAAGGGTGGTTCCCCCGCTATTAGCCCAACCCCCACTGTGCCATCGCCAGTTGATTGCGAAATTTGGATGCGACAGCGGTCCTCATCGCCAGCCCATCGCCAACGCTGCCACGAGGGCCCAGAAACACTGGGCACATGATCGCTCGCTGCTGGGACCAAATAAACTCCTTATCTCACCCTCTATCGCACAGCAATCGTGCAGCCCATCCCAGAGCCTGCAAGCAGCCATGGCGAGCGCTGCAGTCGCCTCCTTTCAGGCTCGGCCCTGTGCGGCCTTTACCGCGCGCCGCAGCAATTCAGGACGCAGGTGGGAGCCTTGTGAAATAACACTCGCTGCAGAGCTGGGTGGGTGGCTGCACTCCCCTCCCAAACCCCGCCGCTGCTGCCACTCGCACCGCCGCCGATCGCGCCAGCCTGGTAAACCCCCCCAGCACTGCAGCCCAGGTTGTCATTCATCCGCCCACTTGAAAGGAGAGGCAGCGCGGCATCCCAGCCTCCCTGACGTCCAATCGGACCAACGCTCTTGCCGTGCGCAGGGTCCGCAGGGCGGCCGCACTCGTGCATGCTGCGGTGAAGACAGCGGGCACAGCGACCAGCGGGCTGGAGATTGGCGGCAAGCGGCCCACCAGCCCCAAGGCCTGGGAGCTCATCAGCACCACGCTCAAGAAGAACGGCGTGGCATTCATCGGCCTCGACCAAGCCGAGGCGGCGGCCAGGAAGGGGACGCCTATCGTGGATGTCCGCCCAGACGACCAGTACAACACCGGCAGGCTTCCGGGTGCCGTCAACTGCCAGTTCTACCAGCCCATCACGGGTGCGCCTGCTGTGCTGCTGACGCGCTGGGAGCGAAAAAAAAGAAGAAAAAACAACAAGAAACATTTGTTGCTTGTTGTTTTTTAATCGCATGTGCTGTGAGCTTGCTGGTGGGAACCCCTGCAGGCTGGGGCCCTGCCAAGATTGCGCGCCGCGTGGGCTTCACCTTGTTTGGGGTGCCGGGCACAGAGGCCAACCCTGACTTCATCGAGCAGGTAGGGGTGCGCCGCACCTGGTGGGAGGGTAATGTGGGAGGATGGCCGAGGGAGGTGCCGAGAGGGTTCCGCTGTGCCTGATGCTTGCTAGATGCATGCGTGCATGCGTGCAGGTGTCTGCGGCGGTGCCCAAGAAGAGCGGCGGCATGATCCTGGTCTGCAACATCGGCGGCACGCTGGAGCCGACAGGTGAGCGTGATGCTGCCGAGTCAAAAGAGCGCTGCAGAGCGGCAATCGGACATGATTTGCTGCATGGACAGTGCTGTGTGCCTCACCTCTCCGGCTGCGTTTTCTTTGCAGGTCCGTCGGAGTTTGGGAGGCAAAGTCGCTCCCTCACTGCCGCCTACGAGCTGGTCCAGGCAGGCTTCAGCAACATCAAGGTCCTGGAGGGAGGGTACAATGCGTGGGCCCGGGATGAGCGGGAGGTGGAGATGGTCCAGTAGGGGCGCAGGCGGCGAGGCCAAGCTGCCGCGGCATCACAACCCAGCGCAAACAACGAACCCCAGCACTGCCATTCATTGATCATTATGTACTTGCGCGTGTGTGCCTGTCTGTATGTGTCAATCTTCCCTGAGAACTCGGGGCGGTGGGGCAAGGCGGGCGTACCAGTGACGTACCGCCGCCTGCAGCTGCATACAGCTCTCGGGCGGGGCTGATACCCCCATATACCAGCCCTCCCACGGCGTATTGACGCAACTGGCATAGTGCCAAGCTTAGCAAGGCCTAGAGCTGCCGCTCGGCCTCCACATCGGGAGATGCCACAGCGGGGTTGAGTGCCACAAATTGTGCAGAGCGAGGATGTCGCTCCACCCCGTTGGATGCAGTTCAGCGGGCCCTGGCCGGCCTCCTGCCGGGAAACTGCGTCGCCCGCTGCTGGCGCTCGCACTGGCGCTCCTCTCAGGTGTGTGTCCGTGTGCATGGATCGCCGGTGTGCTCAGGAAGCGGGGTGCTATGTGTCTTCGACATGGCCACCTAGCCACCGCCGCCGCCCGCCACCGTGCCTTGCAGGCGCGGCGATGGCAGCCGGCGCGGAGACCGTCACCACCGGCCCTGAGTGCAGCAAGGTGTCGCCCCTGGCCCTGAGCGTGCTGGGCAAGATCCCCGCACCCCCATCCAACCAGCTTTGCTCCTGGCTTTTGAAAGGCGTTAGTGGGCTCGTCACCACCTGCCAGCAGCTGGCCATCATCGAGACGGGCCTCTCCCGGACGTCTGGCGGCAACCAGAGCTGCAACACAAGCGACCCACAGGTATGGTGGGTGCATGTGCAAGGTGGTGGTGCATGTGTGGGAGGGGGTCCTGTATCGAGGGGACGGCCATCACGGCCACATCACTGCTGGCCAACCCTCACCCCTGCCCAGCTAGTGCAGCTGGGGCAGTACCCCTTGACGGGCAGCCCAGCACCCCTGGAAGATGCCCGCCCGCTGCCGCCAGGTGCCTTTGCAAATGTGTCTGACGTGTACGAAGAGGAGGGGGCGACCTTCCACTGGTGAGGCTCGGTCTTGGTGCTGCAGAACCACCAAAAGCAGCCCCCGGGCCGTTGTGGGAGTACCAGCGCGGTGGCTTCGTGCTGAATACGCAGGGATGCCTGCCGCTCGCCGCGCCCCTGCCCTGCAGGCTGTACCAGCTGGTGCGCAACCTGGAGAACTCCCTGCCCTGCTCCCTGGAGGGCCTGCCCTGGCAGCCGCCGCAGGGCTGGGCGCTGCACACGACCCTGCGGCTGACCGAGGGCGGCGGGCAGCGCGTGCCGTTTGGCGCCGTCATCGTCGACCCAGCCAGCAGCCAGATTGTGGTGGCGCTGCGGGGCACCATGACGGGGTTTGAGTGGGGGCTGGATTGGCAGTACAATCAGGTGCCTCTGAATGCCTGGCTGGAGTGCATGGTGCCAGCGCTGCTGCCCTATGGTAGCGGGCAGTGCTGCTGCTTGCCCGTGGCAGCGCGATCGCCTGCCCACCACCTGTGGATCCGGCCGCCCCTGCTGGCCAGCATCGTTAGCAGCAGGCCATGCTTCCGAGGGCGGGCGCCGGCTGTTGACCGCCCGAGGGCCCGGCCGCTGTCTCTGTTGCTTTGCGTCACATTGCTGCAGACGACCACCACGCCCGATGTGTTTGGCGTGCCGGTGCATGCCGGCTTTGGCGGCGCGTTTTCGGAGGTCTGGCCAGACATCGAGGCAGCCCTTCAGGAGCTGGTGGTCGCCAACTCCACCGCCACCCAGGCACGCAGGGCCGCCGCTGGGCCGGCAGGCGGGGCACGCTGAAGCGCCGCGAGGCACCTTGCACCAACCCTAAGCGCAGCCCCCCGCCCCTTCCGCTCGCCCATGCCAGCCGCCCGCCCCCGGCCCTCCTCCGTGCAGGTGTTTGTGGTGGGGCACTCGCTGGGCGCCGCGGTGGCTACCCTTGCCTCCTATGCCGCTCAATCCTACCTCGACGAGCAGCTGGGCGAGGGCGCCCCGGTGGTGGGCGCCGTGCTGGTGGCCCCGCCCAACGTGGCTGGCCCCGCCTTTGTGGCGGAGTTTGACCAGCGGGTCAACGCCCGGCGCCTCGCTTTCCAGTTCGACATCGTGCCGCAAGCCTTCTGCACGCCGACCATGCCCGCCTGCGGCGGCGCCAGCGCCGACGCCAGCCCCGTGGGCGCGCTGCTGGCCAAGGTGTGTGAGGGGGTGGCTGGGCCCGGGTGAAGGTGTCGTCCACGAGTGCCGAGCAGGACCAGGATGGATACTCCCCGCTTTCCTTCCCGCCGTGCCCTCCACCCTGCTCGCCGCCACCTGCCTGCGTGGCCAGCCTTCCCTTGCACCAACCTCCCCAATCTGTTGGCCGCGCCTGCAGGCTGGGGTCAGCGTGATGCCGACCAACATGCCTGGCAATGTGTCAGCCTGGAACTACAGCCAGGTTGGAGGCGGCCTGCCCATCGCAGGCGACGACATGCCGCAGGTGCGTGCGGCTGCTCTTGGCACACGGGCCCCTCTGTGGACGGCCTGCGCTGCCCCCCAGGCCTGCTGCTTGCAGCCCCGCGTCACCCCCCGCCGCTGCCGCCTCCTTTCGTGCAGGATGCGGCGGCGTGGCCCGCGCTGCAAAGCATCCAGCTGTGCTGGGCGGTGGAGTTTCTGCTGGCTTCGCACGTGTGCTCGTACACCTGCTTCACCTCCCAGTTTGCCGCTGACGCCGACGCCGCAGCCCGGCACAGCAACTGCTGGCTCAGCCCCAAGCCGGGCGGCGCCGAGGGGTCGGCCTGCATGGGCTGGCCGTCGGCATACCCAGGGGTGAGTGGTGCTGGGTGGTTCCAGGTGTACAGCAGGTTCCCGACGTGTGGCGGCTGTCTGAGCCTGGTCCTGCCATGTACTTGTGTGTCTGGTTCATGCAGATGGAGGGGGCAGCAGCAGCGCCAAGTCCGCAGTAACCCGGGCGGCTACGCACTCACACCATCTTGGACTTCTTTTGTAACCGCTCTCAAACTGTGCCGCAATCAGTAGTTTCTGTGCTAGTGCGTGATCACGGTTTGGGCAGTCAGTCGGCGGCGCCGCCGTGCGCGCTGCCGCTCCGCCGCCGGCCAGCAACTGGGAGGGATGCCTGGAGACCCTCCCTTTATTCGGCATCACCGACTCTGCATCAGTCTCCGTACCAGGCCTGAAGTGGAGCGCCCTCGGCAGAGAGGCATCGCCGGGACTGATCGCTTGGCCACCCAGTCCTTCTCAGCGCCTTTGAAAACCGGCTTGAAACAATAGGCAGCCTCCTCCACGCAGCGGCGGCGGGCTGGCTGGGCACAGCCGCAGGGCGGGCTGAGGTTGGCGGGTAGTCGCGAGCGGCGGCGCCGCCGCCGCGATGGATCCCGGCTTTTGCGGGCGCGTTGTATTGCATCTAGACTTCGACTGCTACTACGTCCAGGCAGGGTCACTTGGCTTCCTGTGTTCTGTGTTGCTGCTTGTACTCACGATTCATGTTCATAGCTACTTTTGGAGATCCACAGGTGCACTGCCAGCTTGGCGTTCCTGCTGCACCCAACACGCCCACCGCCGCCCACCCCTGTCTGCTGCCCGCAGGTGGAGATGAAGCGGCTGGGCATCCCGCGCGAGACGCCCTGCGCGGTGCAGCAGTGGGAAGGTGGGGCGGGGCCGCGGCGGGCGCCGCCGCGTGCTCCACCGGCGCTGCAAGCCTGCCTGCCGGCGCCTCCTCGCCGCCTGGGCACCGTCTGGCCCCAACTGTGGCCCCCACCGTGTGCTGCCGCAGGGCCATGGGAGATCGCCATAATCAGTGCAAGGAGTGCCAGGTTCAATTCATGCCATGGGACGGCACGCCGCTTACGCCAGGACATGCCTTTGTGTCCTTTCTGTAGCGCTCTACAAGGTTGAGGATGATGGTGATGAAGTGGCCGCGAGAACCCACTACATGAGAGCTTACCGGGCCCGCCGGTACCTCGAGGATTTCGAGGGCTATCTTGAAGCTGTCGCTACCGAGGCGGCCTGGGCAGGCAAACGGGTGGCAACATGTGTCTGATGTGAAGCAAGTCGTGGCACGGTATTACGGTGAGCAAGTTTGTTGCACCCGCCCTGTCTGTCTGAGGTGGCCCGCGTACATGCCATGGGGCTTACCTGCATGCCTACCATGAGGCCGGCCTGCATGCATGTCTCCCTGCCCCCTTCCCGCCGGATTGCACCCCCCCCTCTAACCCACCACCACCGTCCCACTCCCGGGGAGAGACCTCAGGACGCCCGGGTTTTCTGGGCTGCTTGACAAACATTTGGCAGCCGAGCGGCAGTGGGCCATATTTATGAAAGACGAGGCCTTCCCAAACCTTAATCTGGATAGCGAAGATATGCGGTGGGTGTTCAAGATATGGGGAGCTATCAAAGCACAGTGATAAGAGGCGGCAGCAAACGAGGTATGAATATAAGACCAAAAAAGTCCACCCAAAAAGTCTCTCCACCCGGGGTCGAACCAGGGACCTATGGATAAATATCTAAACTTACAGTCCATCGCTCTTCCAACTGAGCTATGGAGAGAGTCCTTCGTGTTCATCTATCGCCGCGTTGTTTCCTGCTTCCTATCACCGTGATCTGCCATACTTTCTTCCCTGAAAATTTCATCGTTGTTCATCGTTCCTTGCTCGAGTCCCCCGGCGCGGCCGGGCCCCGCGCGGCCGGGCCCCGCGCCCCCCTCCCGCTCCTCTGGGGCCCTTCTTGAGCAACACCCTGCCTTGGAGACGCAGGACGAGGGCGACCGCAGCATCGCCGGCTCGCTTGGCCCGCCAGCCGCCCATTCTGCAACTGCCCGCACTCGAGATGGCCTCCTGATGGTGCGTGGAGGGGTGCCCCGGGCCCTGCGGCGCCCGCGGCTCGGCTAGTCCGGCGAAAACCCCCTCGGGCCGGTGCCGGCTCCCGGCCCGTTGTATGAGCCCCCGTGTGCCCCGTTGGTGCCCGGCCACCCCCTCTGCGACTTGTTCGCCCCCTACGACGCGTTTTGTGCGCGCCAGCCCCTCCCCCCAATTCCCGCTTCCGTGTGTCGCGGCCCCAAGCCCTGGTGCTTTCCCTTCAGCGAATTGAGACGTGGGGTGGCGTGGCTTGGCGGAGGAGCCTGTTGCCGCCGAGCGATTTGCGTTCGGGCAGGCCGCTGCTGCTGCTGCCGCCGCGTGCCGGGCGGCCCGCCGTCCCCCCCTCTTTTCGCTCACTCCGTGCCTGCCGTTCTGGTCGTCACGCCCCTACTCTCCCCCCCGTAACCCGCAGATGCTTGCGCTTTTGCGCTTGCCCCT